CTCTCCTCTCCTCTCCTCTCCTCTCCTCTCCTCTCCTCTTCTCTCCTCTCCTCTCATCTAGGGTTACACCTCATTCCTTTCAAAAAATACAAATTTCTAGATTGATGAAGAGATTTGATTGGACGGTGTTGATTAGAGATGAGAGGGGACAGGAGGGTGAGAAATGAGGAAAATGAATCAAAATGACACGTGTCGAGCTTTCAAGTGGGCGAAGGCTGTTACCCGTCTCACCATATCCCAACCCTCGGTTAATCATGTGGCCTAACCTTAACAACATGAAACAAAAACAATGCATTTCAAGTTTACCAAACTACCCTTCTCCTCTACTCCTATGCTAAAACACCTTCAAACTGGGGTTTCCTAGTTTAAAGGGCATTGCTACCTGTGTTTACCAAATTTTAGATTAGCGAGAGAGACATGAAATTAAATTGGGTGAAGTGTAAGCACATTTTGAGAACCAAACTTACAAACTCCAACATTCTCCTCCAAACATTCTCCTCCAAATACAAACACATCTTCTTCCTTCCTCTTTTCACTTCCCAAACTTTGTATGCTCTAAAATGGAGAATCTAATTACAAACATATTGAATTTATGTTACTTCAGGAATGCTTTGGTTAACATGGAACTAAATTAAATAAAACTTCCCTTATCCATGAATTCCAACTTTCACGATTAAACTAATTTTTTTTAACCTCCTTGCTCGCGGGGAACTTCAATTCTAACAATCTATTTCTAAATTTTTTAATAAATATTCTTAAAATGTAAATTAAGTTAAATTAAGAAGCTAATGTCCTTAATTTGAGGAGGTGGGTATTTTGGACTGAGAGTAGCTCTAAGATCTTAAACCAAAATTCAATGCCATCATTATTTTTTTTTTCTCCCTCTCTTAAGGAGTTTAATAGGGTTGCTACTAGGCTTAACACATGAGGAAAATATTAATGTCTTTTGATTGTTTTAAGTAAGGGTATATCGGCACCTTATAGTACTTCCATTCTAATTTAGCCCCCTACCTCAAATTTGTTAGAAAATACACTTGAAAAGAAAATTAATCACTCACTATTTTAATTTTGTGTACTTTTTTTTTTTTTTCAAGTGTATTTTCTAACAACAATTTCTTGGACCAAGTTTCCTTTTGTTTCAATTTTCTTTATTAAACCCATTTTAAAAGTTTTAAGAAAAGAAAAAGAAAAGAAAAAAGAAGAGAACATTAATGAGAATTTAGGCTTTGGAGGCATAGGGTTTGGGGACCAATAAATAAGACATGAAGTGCAGGTGAGATGGCAGATGGTGAATGAAAGCAATGTCTTTTTAACGCACCCCTGTGAGGTGGTCCAAACTCATAGTACTTTGGCAGCTGCACCTATGAATGTGGTGTATGTATAGTGCCCATTGCCCAACCCCTCCACATCTACTTCATCTATAAATGGTTAAATCTTATAACTTCTAGGTTTTAAAAATTTTCCATTTCTCATTTTTATACAATATATCAAATCAATTGTATGATAGCCGTCTACCTAACCCTTCAAGTTAGTCTACGTGTAATAATCTAATTTTCCTCCTACAAGATTTTCTTAATTTTAAAAGGGAAAGATTTGTTTAGAAAACAAGTAAGAAGTGCATAAAAACAATCTAGTCATCAAATACTAGAAACTCATAAATGTAAGGAGGCAAGGCAAATATTCTTGAATATGCTAGACTCATGACAATCCAACAACCTTCATCGTCTTACCCTTATTTATTCTTGTCTTTATCTAAAATAATTTTTTTTTAAAAAAATGAGTGTTAAAAATACCGAATAAGTAACCTCTTGTTGAATTAGATATGTATGTAGACACGGTAAAAACGTAACATAAAATACAATTCCTATGAGTAATTATGATATGATAAGTTTTTGATGCATGCAAATTGTTGGCGTACGAACATCAACATCAACATAAAAATAGGGAGTAGGAATGGGAATTATTGAGTAAAAGCTTTAAGAATGAAGAGAGATAGAGGGAAATAATATGGAATAGGCTTATATTACACTTTGTCATCAACCATAGTGGGCCATTTGATAATGCATTGTCTGGATTTTGCCTATATTTATGTATGGAATGAAATGTGAACCTACCTACTCTCATATTTGGTGAAGATGAAAGCCTTCTTTTTTTCATTATAGGAGAGAAGATGCCAAATACAAAATATTTTCAAGCAATCACCAAATCAACTATTATATATAAATTTTAGTCAACATCATATGATCCATAACCAAAATCAACTATTTTGACTATTCCAAGAGAAGAGGAACTAAAAAGAGTCACAAAATTAATATTCGAAATCTCAAGTCTGAACAAAGTAAAAACATTGAAACAGACATTTCACACACAACACAACAGCATTCCTTAAAACTCATAGAACAAACGAAGCAAGCAGAGATTGGAAGGTTAACAGTGGCTGAGTTAAATCCTGACGGGAATAGGCATATTACATAAATCCATCTCAGAACCTACAAGAATGACCCAACTTTCATGTTTCAATACCTGAATAAATCTACAGATGATCCAGCAAGACCATCCTGGAATGTCGGGTAGCACCGGATGTTGGCATGGCTGCTACCGTCCGAGACCAAACCAGAATTAACAGGGTCACTCTCCAAGCCAAGACCGTCACTGTGGATGAAATGGGCTGGGGTGATGAGGTTGGATTGGCTCATGGAGCTTAGATTAATCTCCCCGGGCTCAACTGGTGTTGACAGAAGAGAGAGAGCACAGTCAGAGTTGAAGAACTGATCTGGTCCGTTTCCGAGCACTTTCTGAACATTTCCTCTGTTGCAGGATTCAACGTCGAGATATGGGCGAGCATCGGATGATTTGGGAAGCAATCCTACAGGGATGCAAGAGATTGCTACTTGTTTTTCTTTGTAATCACAAGCCAACGATCCAGGCAACATACTTTTTCTTCTGTCACCAAAGTCAAACTGTGAGTTGCCGCTGCAAACAGGGGCATTGCTCTCGGGTTTGATCATTCCAATCCAAGAAGAGCTCACATCATTGCTGGCAGACAGTAATTGATTACCAAATGGTAAGAATCTTGGACCTGCTCAAACAAGTCATATGTACTTCGCACTGGTTCATCATTCGACAACGAAACAACAATGTAAACATTGGGAACAGTCATGGAATTCTTGGAAGCATGGAAGAAAATTCAATTGGATCGGACCAGGGAAACCAAGCCTAAACTAATAATACAAACCTTGGTTGCCATAGAGAAATCTTCCTGCATTTAGTGTCATAGTCGCTGGTTGAGGCTTTCTTCGACGTCGGTTGTGCCCATCGAGACGCTTCCTACAGCTTCGTTTTCGATCATCAAACTCCACCAAAGAATGGAATCTACAAGCACATGTTAAGGGAACTGAAACGAATGCCAAGAAGGGAACCAACCATACAAAGATAAGAAGTAAAAGAAACACAAAATGTAAGTATCTCACAAATATTTGCATCCAACACTGATTCAACCATCTGGTAAAAGGCAAAAACATTAGCACATTTTAAAATATATCCATGAGGGAATGTTTCCAAGTATATCATATCCATGAAAAATATGGATAAGTTTCCAAGTACAAGATGAAAAGCAACAAGTTTAAGATATCCTACATGCCTAACTCAAATTATTTCAATCCGACAAGAAAATCATGAAAATTAACCCAAGGCAGAATTAATGAAGCAAATTGCAGATATTGATGTTCTAAACATTTAAACTCACCTGCTACACTGCTGACAGAATCGTTGTTCCTGACCGCAAATGGTTACTTTTGGTGTTTTAGAATGGAGCTCACATACTTTATGGCGACGATGATAGTCCCTGCATTTGCTAAGGTCTGAGCTACAACCATCAACCATACAGGAAGGGATTTGGGGTCCGCTTCCAGGGGCACGTGACCTCTTCATTAATCTCGAAGCCGATGACTCGATCAAAGAAACTCTAGTTCCTTTCATGTCATCCATAGAACCATCGCCCATATTACCAATGCCCCTGAGTCTCAAATACATCAAGCAACTTCCTCTACTCCAACACACTCTCAGTTTCCTTCCTTCTATGGTAGCGATTCGCAGAACGTTTTTTTATAAAAAAAAATGCAGACAAGACTGATTCTTAAGGTGCTTTAACTTATTTCCAACAGAAAATTTCTCAGATCAGGATCCTTCCCAGTTCAACTATACACTCTTCATAGCACTGCTAATAAGATTAGATCAGAATAGAAAGGAACCAAACCAGGAACGATGAACAGAACGAGTTCAGCAGGGATAAGAAGATGCAATTTAAGGCATAAGCAAATACAATACAAACAAGCAAAGCGTTATAGTACTTCCCTTCAAAATCACTGCACACAAGTAATACAATCAGCACTCCCAAAGTTTCCTGAACTAGATAAAATTTTAAGTTCCAAAGACAAGGAATATCGGCCATCTACAGGAAATATCCACTTCATTCACTTTCCTTTAAGATCTATTGTCAAATTTCGGAAAAAGGAGCTCACTATCATCAAGATCAAAATCGTCCACTACAGCAAACATACAAGTGTCTACCTGACAAACAACTGAAACCCAGTTCTGCAGCATCATCACTTTTTTCACCCCATGAAATGATAAAGGAATTTCAATTTCGGGTCTCCACAAGTGAAGGTTGCAATAAGTTGAATTTTCGTATAAAAGCAAACAAAAAATAGGAACGGATTGGAAGTTTAAAATGATGGATACCTGGTAGAAATTCACAAGTCAAGCTGCATCTTCATCTGGGGAATCCGAGAAAGCTTAAAGAGGAGAGCAAATAGGAAGAGATGAAGGAAGTGAAGAATGAGAAATGGCGGCTAAGACCAAAAGAAATCGGATATCGACATGGGCAGGGAGGCTGAATCTGTAGAAGGTGTTAGAAGAATGGTAGAAAGAAGCAAAAGGGAAGAAAATGAATTAAAAAAAAAGAAGATAAATTGGAATGCAAAATTGGGAAGAGTGGATAATGTACTTGGATGATGGATGATGAAGGGAAAGGAGAAGAAAGGGATAGTGGGGAAATGGAAAATGGGAATTTTGGAAGCCTTCAGCTTTCCTCTTCAGGCCCAACTCCAAGGCATTGTGGTGGGCGAGAAGGAAAAAATGTTAGAGAAAAGAAGAAAAATAATAGAACAAAAAAGAAACACACAGAAACGAGTGGCAAAGAAAGGGACAGAGTGTGTTCGGTTTTAGGAGCTGAGGCTTAGGAGGAGGAATGATGGGAGAGAGAGAGAGCGACCGAATGGAATGGTGGGATTTGGAAAAGGGAGGGACCCATGTGACTTCCTTCTTCCTATCTATTCAATCAATTTTTATAACATTATTTTTTTTTTCATTCCTTCAATCAATTAATTAATTTTTTATTTTATTTTATTTTATTTTATTTTTTGAGATGACTTTCATGGCTTATGTTGGCAATATATATATGATTTAAGACAAACCTACCTCTCTCTGCTTCTTAACTCTGGTAGATATTTGTTGTTGAGATTGAGGAATTGATACAACTGGATTTTAGAAATAATAATTAGTAAATAAATAAATAGTGGTTGGTAGTCCCAATTGCAAAATGGACACAAATGTAGCTTAACCACACGTTTTTATTGTGTATATGAGAAAAAGGATAAATGTGGACACCAAATTGTTTCTTCCCTACCGCCATTTTATTTTTTTTATTATTATTAATAAATACCATTTTAATATACTATATTTTCTTACATTATTATAAAAAAAAACAATATTTTTCATGTAAGATAAAAAGAAGATGTGGTGCAACTTTGCAAACATTAAAAAGAAAAAAGAAAGATAACGTAAAAAGGAAGTAAAAATAGTTATCAAGTTACTAAAAAAAGTATGAACAACTTTTGAAGCTGTCATCATAAGAAGTTAATACAAAGAGGGAAACTTAAAGGCCATAATTTGATAAAGAGGGTGAACGAATGAATGAATGGGGGAGAAGAAACCAAAAGGGATGGTGGATCCCACCACTCCTAAGCTTCGCCCGGTTTATGAAAAAGGATGACTTTACAAACTTTTTTCATTAAATATTCTTTTTTCTCTTTAATGGATAAGTATTTGTGAGGTGCTTTCTACAAACAAATGGCATTCCCAAACATTTTGGGTCAATTATAAACGCTATGCTTCATGATTACGCACATAATATGCCATTCCACAAACACCGCATCCCTTTACTGTACCAAACTTAATGCACACTGTTGATTACGCACATAATATGCCATTCCACAAACACCGCATCCCTTTACTGTACCAAACTTAATGCACACTGTTCTCTCCCTCACTCTTCATTTGTCAAATCTCACATGCTCCGATTCTCTTCTTTTTCCTTTCCTTTTCTTTTCTTTTCTTTTTTTTTTCTTACTCTTACTTAAGGTCGAGATTGAAAACCATGCTTGTTGGTATACGCACCTCTATTATATTATGAGGAATAGTATGTTACCTCTTTGTGGTCACTTGTACAGAGAAACATCTCTCCATATTATCTATCATCCCTTCTCTTCTATGGTGTGAACTTGATATTTCAATAACATATGTGAAGCAAAAACAAATAAAAAGTTAGTTTATAAAAAAACATTTAAAGATCATAAAAACTAATAGATAAAATTCTTATCAAATGGGTTTCTAACGATTGTTCTGAGAATTGTCTAATATAGCATGTTCAAGCAGAAAGGGCATAATATGAATTGGTAGATAATGAAAATGTCATGTTGTGGTTCCAAATCCCATAAGAACTCAGTTGTATAGATCTTGTTCATTGTTCTGGTTCAAAATATCTTGACGGGTCAAGAAATTGAGGGTAAAAGGCCGAAGGATGAAAATCAAAATTCTAAGGACCAAAACTAAGATCAGGCGAAGAACCCCACAAAAAAAAAAGTTTCAGAATTCATCATTAACATATTTATAACAGCTTATTATCGTAACAAAAAAAAAAAAAAAATAGAATAACCACACTGATACCTAGAACAAAAATAAGAAAAATAAGAAAAGGAGCTTTATAATAATAACTACAAAATTCCGTACCCACCAGAAACTATACGATATCTTCTTCACCTGGGTTGGGCACTGCCAATAGACAATTCTACAAAAATAAGGGTTCCTCAAGATTGAAAACTTGGGCGAGACTGCCGGAATACTGCAGTCATTGCACTTCTCGTCCTGGTGAGAAAGCCAAGTCCAGAAAGACCGGAAGTCCCGGCCTCGCTTTTGGTGGAATTGGATGTACCAGTTCCATTTGACATTGTATCGAGGCCGATGCTTGACGGCGCGTTCAAATTGGCAGTTCCTTCTAACTGCCAAGCATACCAATAAATGTTAGAATTGTACAGATGATTGTATTGGTGCATTGAAACAAATTCAGAATATATGCAACCATCATCAAGCCGGGGTCTGAGACATTATTTTGGGGGGATCGCCGTTGAGGTTGAACCTGAGATTGAATCATAGCATAAGTGACTGTTTTGGTAAGTTCTGACATAAGCCAAGCTCAATAGTGTACTTCTCTGTTCAATAAATCATGAGGAAACGCTTGAGCAATTCAAATTAGAAGCACGTAAAATGATATGAACCAAAAAACATCAATCATACAATATACTTCAATGAAGATGTGAAGAAAAGGTTGTCAAAATTATCAAAAGATGTTTCAATTCATGCCACATTGAAGAAGAATGAAGTTTGATTGTTATAAATTTTGGGTGGGTTACAATTTAGAGTTATTGTATTTCATTTATGTATTTTAAGACTTTATTTACTATAGGTTACAATTACATAATGGTTAATTATGGCCATTAAGTATCAATGTTACAACTCTTGGAATGACTTTAGTAGTTTCATTTTGAAGCTATATAAAGCCATGTATGTTGTATGTGTAAGGGACTTGGAAAAATATAGTAAAAAGAAGCATTTGTGCTCTTCTTTAGCCAATGGCTAAGTTTCTTTGCAATTCTATGTAGTTTAGGTTGCATGTAGAATCATTCAAGCTCGACATGATCAATCTTGCTTGTGGAGTGATTCGAATCTCATGGAAGTGTTCTTGCCTTGAGATATTTGATCAACAAGAATCATTCAAGCTAGACATGATCGATCTTGCTTGTGGAGTGATTCGAATCTCAAACAATGTTCTTGCCTTGAGATATTCGATCAACAAGGTAATCCGAATCTTACTCCCCTTGTAGTGGTTCCTTTTCTTATCATTAAAAGCTATCACAAATTTGCACATAAGAAAATTGGTGTAATTTTTTTAAGGTTAAATTATAAACAATACCCTTAAACTATGGGGTTGGTTTCAATTATAACCCCAAAGTTCGAACAAATTTCATCTTTGGTGCGTTCTCTCACTATTATAAACAATACCCTTAATTGTTGCATTCTCTCACTATTATAAACAATACCCTTTAAGTTAGAAGGTTTTTCTTAAAAAAAAAAAAAACCCTCAAACGCTTTTGTCCGTACATTCATGCATTGATTTGTTTAGATGTGTCGGATGTCTTTATTTTTTATTTTTTTTCCATTAAGTATTTTGATTTGTTTACTTAAATAGACACAAACTTAGCTTACAGAGTTTGTTTTGGAACAAACTTCAACTGTTAAAAGACTCAAAGGGTATAATTGAAACCAACCCCTAGTTCAGGGGAATCCTTGATAATTTAACCTTTTTCAAAATACCCATATAGCTTACGCACCCTTGCACTTGCACTTTGACTGATCTCGTAGGAAATTTCCTATACTTATAATTTTTGGGGATCCAGAGACTTATGACTTTAATAACTTAGGCATGCACCACCATGCACCATGCACCATGGAACTAATTCATTTCCAAAATCTTGCCGTTTTCTCTCTCTTTATCAAAGAAATGCAAAAACATCATCTACTCAAGTGGAAAATTAACTAACCTGGTTAGAAGAAGCATTGTACTCGGAAGGAGATGGCGGATCTGGTGAAAAACCAACCAGCAACGACCGATTCTGCTGATAAAACAGAGAAGAAAATAGTGAGAGAATGCAACAATTAAGTTGTGCTCTCTAAGCCTATCTATCACCATTCTGATATTGTTTCTGTGAAAGCATTATCAAACAGATAAATGCTCATATTTACCTTTAGTGAAGGAGTTGTTAGAGGGAGTTCAGGAGCTTGCCTGGAGGAACTAGAAGGACTTGCCTGCAAAATTCACAGTTATATGGAAAGGTGTGTGAATCTATGTATTCTAAGATTCACATTTCCAGATATCAATGGTGCAGGTGTAAATTTTCCGGACAATGACTAATGATCCAACCATGGTCCATGATCTGAACCATAAAGATCAGGTTAATTATTTTCTAAAGTTTGTTTGTCTTGCTCCATTAATCTGATCTTCATGGTTCAAAGGTGCATGATTATTGCAAATTTTACAGTGAAAATTTTATTTGTCTGACAAGACATGCAAGAAACTACGTAAGAATGTCCCCTCCCCCAAATTAATTATTAAAAAGAAGAGAGAGAGAGAGAAAGACCAAGGTTTTGATGCATGCCTGAGTACGTTCTGCAGTCCTGCGATTCTCCATGTTCCAAGCATAATTACACAATCTCTTAACACCTTCATTCGTTAGTTCCTAAGCATAGAATCAAAGGCCAAAACAATCGTTAGTAAACACCACCACCAATTGTCTAGGCGTTTATATGTGCTGGAAACTGAGTAAAACGATATAAACATCAAACTAAATATTGTAATGAAAATGCTAAATCACCCATTAAGTTGACAGGTTATAGTAAATATAATTATATTAACACTCCAACACTGTCCCTCACTTGTGGGCTTGAAAATTTATAAAAGACCCAACAAGTGCAAATCAATATTAATTGGATAGGAAAGGGAGGTTTGAAGTCAAACTAATTCCATCTTAAGTCACCAATCAATCCAAAAGCTTAAGTTGATGGGTTATGGCAAATTTAATTAAAACTATATATAAAAAAAAAGGTTCACCTGCTTTTCTTCAAAACTCCATAGTTTATTTTCCTAGAGCACACAGAGAACAGGTCAGTCATTAATTTTAAGTTCTGAGATAAATTACAAAGGAGGAATAATAAAAGGTAAAGTTATATCATCGAGAAGCAGTTACCAAAGTCTGGACTGCATGATGAACGGATTTAATATCCCTGCCAAAAGTATCTGATCTACCTCGAAGTTCTGAAACCTTTATGGCCAAAAAGAAAATATACAGTTTAGTCAATGATCTCCAATCCGTCTCTCTTTAGAAAGACAGTACCTGTTCTTGTGTATCAGCAGTGAGATCCAAAGATTCATCCAAACTTTTGTCAACGTGGTCCATTTTT